TTCAGTACGGTGGAGTGTGTGTAACTGTGTAAGTAAGATGCATCTAAAGGGGGGGGGGGGGGGATGGAATTCTAGGTTTTAAGTTTTAATGCAGGGAATGAGTGCGACTGTTTATAAAAGAAGTTAGCGGTGATTTTTTCTCAATTATTCTAATTGTTTAATTTAACTTGCGCTAATATTAACCGTATATCATAGTAATGTTAAGTCATAGTGGTAGTAAATATGAATGGCAGGAGAATAAACTGACTTATCTTCGCAAAATGCGATGGAACGAAAAATCTGAGGTCTCAGTTAAACTAAGTCAACAAATTCTGCAACGGACTGGATTAGAAGGCATGATTCTTGCGTTGTTTTACGTCAAAAGAAGATGGTCCGGCTATAGACTCGCGTGAGAGATGACCTATGAACTCTAGAATTACAAACTTAGTTCCTCTGGATCTTAAACGTCCTTTCGGTCGTCTAAGAATATGCGGGGACTCTCGAATTACTTGGCCAGCGGTGGAGGCGGAGAATCGAGAATGCTAAAGATGCATGAACTTATGTTCATGGTGCACCCTTAACGAAGATAAGTCGGATAATGTATGACTGTGTTTCTGATTTTTGATCCGTTGCCGATTCGTGGTTGAGGTCACCGCATGATGCGGGTGTTAAATATTGTTAGCGCGTGTCTGCGTTCACAATAGCATCCTCAGTGTACAAATGATATCACAGGCAATAGGCTTGTTTATTAAAATTGCATAAGTTTAAGTGAGTGGCAGATTAACACCAGATTTTAGTTAACCATTTCTGAACTTGAAATCTAGTATGATAATGTGTGCCAACACATTGCCTGTCATGTGAGTTGTGACTTGACGATGCTACGGCGTGCGTAGCGAAACACTGGCAATTAACTGTTTCCATCTGCTTTGTTTGGTATCATTAGCTGTGAATCGGCAAATCCTATGCAATTTAATCAACTTTCATGCTGTTTTTATACATAGTTTGTAGTAACTTCTTTCTGTGTAAAATATTATATTTCGCACTAGCATAGTGCGGAGCATGATGGAAAAATTTCCTCGAGAAGAAGCTGCAAAGTTTTTAGGTACCCGGTTGCAATTATTAATTCTGATATGTGACATTTGAAAAAAAACGACATTTGCAGTTGCGATGCACGGCAACAATTTTTTTGAGTAACACCAGCAAAGTAGTTGGTGGAGTTATTAAGTAAGCGATTTGCTGCAGGGACATTGCAGAGCCGCTGATGACGGAGCGAAAACCAATGTAAGTGGACGTGACATTGTACATCTGCAGGAAGCTCTTTCCTGTTCTTCGCTACAGATATCTGCTTTCATGGAAATCTCCATGTTGATCCGATTAACTTCACCTCATCCTGCCATCGATCTGAAGACTTCCACAACCCGACGTGTATTTTGTATTGAAAATGTGGCCCAACGAGAGTCGGTTCTTGCAGTGTCCTGCCAGTTGCCACTTCACTCAGACAATGGCATCGTAGGCTTGCTTGTGCTGTTTTTCATTTCTATTCTTATTTCTAGGATGCATATCAGTTTCTCGTCATAACTGTTGCAGCACGAGCGATTCTAGCGGACTGTTGAGAAGGCAGTTGTTTGTTCCTTGTTCACTGGAAGTGTTTCTCAAAGTGGCGAACATTCTAAAATTTCGGGATGGGTACTCTGAGTCTTTCTGTGTAGCTTTTTACGAATTCGTTAATTGCAGTAATGAATCGAACGATGCTTTCATCAGAAATCTGCTGCAGGGGCAACAAGGTTTACGGTTTGACGAGTAAATTCATGGTACCTATGGTACGACAAATTTCCTTACGGGAACTCCCATGAAACTGGAGATCCGAAAGCTGAAACCGTGTATAGAGATAGATTTTTCGGTTGGACCTAGGAGAATTTCCTTCGTGGATTCAACTAAAGTTAAAATCATACTAACGTGCTTGCCATACCACGAAATTAAATTTTGGATCTGTAGCTCTGCGCAAGTGCTAAGAGAATTAGTGGTTTACTAGTGTATAATTTAGAATTTTTAGAAGGTAAAGTTCTGGAACTACTGTAGTTGTAGAAGAGGGTTTATGGTTTCAGGGCAGTCACTTCCACGCAGTAACAGAATCGCGTATTGATAATAAAAATGATGCAAATAGCTTGTTAGCAGACAAGCTAATTAGCTGACCTGCCTACGACTACTATGTTTTGACACGGATTTTGCTTTTAAGTGCCTTAAACACGAAGGCCCTTATTTGGACCATCGTAATTTTGTGCAAGGTACTTAATACTGTCAGTCCATGGAACGACACGGGCGATCGTCATTGTCGTGTGAAGTCTTAGTACGTCGGTAGCATGCCTTTGACAAATGTCAGATGTTAACAAAATTAATTCTTCATCGTTTGAAGCAGACAGCAAGGTTGTGCAGGTGTGGCGCGCTTAGACCGAATCAGCCTGGAAAAACGGGAAGTAGTACCAAATATGGGTGCTGAATAAAGTCACACAGGCATTCAGATAATGGTGTATCTAAACGAATAAATATCTTTTGGACAGATTTTAAAAATTATTGAATGATCTATCACTGAATCAGCGTACAGTTGATGGATTGACCCTTCGGCGAAATGAATGTCAGCACGGGTGAAATAACTTATACTAACAAAATCTGGAAGGCATTTGTTGTCCTTAATCTGGCAAGATTCAGCGATAACTGAAATGAAACAGCTGTTTACAGAACAATCGCGGAAATTGTTAGAGCTCTTGCATATTGAAGAGTGAAAAGCATCTGGCTGGAAAGTTGCCAGCGTTCCAGTCGTATTGACTTGAAAGTTTCTTCAACTGAAGACTTATTTAATACACTGAGGCAACTGTTTAAATATCATGCGGTATCTGGGTACATAATTTCAGTTTTGAAATGGATGCGTGTAGAAATCAAATCTCCCTTAAAAGTCGGGGAACATTATTTAAGTGGTTTCTTATAAATTGTGGAGTTCGGCAAGATGTGCTTTCAGTTTTGCTAATCGAACTTATTTTTGACTTCTCCAAGAGTGTGCTGGTTTTCGCAGAGACGAAGCTCTCATTCTAGAATGAAGATACACTACTAGATATATGGAGTGCGCCGATGATATTTTCCTTGTGAGTAGTGTGGGACAGGTTTCGTCACTTGACCGC